CAATGGGACCTAATGAAACTTCAAAGCTTTTGCACAGCAAAGGAAACCATAATCAAGACAAAAAGACAACCCACAGAATGGGAGAAAACATTTGCAAATGAAGCAACTGACAAAGGATTAATCTCCAAAATTTACAAGCAGCTCATGCAGCTCAATATGAAAAAGACAAACAACCCAATGCAAAAATGGGCAGAAGACCTAAACAGACATTTCTCCAAGGAAGATATACAGATTGCCAACAAACACATGAAAGGATGCTCAACATCACCAATCATTAGAGAAATGCAAATCAAAACTACAATGAGGTATCACCTCACACCAGTCAGAATGGCCACCATCAAAAAATCTACAAACAAGAAATGCTGGAAAGGGTGTGGAAAAAAGGGAACCCTCTTGCACTGTTGGTGGGAACGTAAATTGATACAGCCACTATGGAGAACAGTATGGAGGTTCCTTAAAAAATTTAAAATAGAACTACCAGACAACCCAGCAATCCCACTAATGGGCATATACCCTGAGAAAACCATAATTCAAAAAGAGTCATGTAGCACAATGTCCACTGCAGCTCTATTTACAAAAGCCAGGACATGGAAGCAACCTAAGTGTCCACTGACAGATGAATGGGTAAAGAAGATGTGGCATATATATCCAGTGGAATATTACTCAGCCATAAAAGGAAATGAAATTGAGTTATTTGTAGTGAGGTGGATGGACCTAGAGACTGTCATACAGAGTGAAGTAAGTCAGAAAGAGAAAAATAAATACTGTATGCTAACACATATATATGAAATCTAAAAAAAAAATTTAAAATGGTCATGAAGAACCTAGGGGCCGGAAAGGAATAAAGATGCAGATGTAGAGAACGAGTTGAGGACACAGGGAGGGGGAAGGGTAAGCTGGGATGAAGTGAAAGTGGCATGGACATATGTACACTACCAAGTGTAAAACAAATAGCTAGAGGGAAGCAGACACATAGCACAGGGAGATCAGCGTGGTGCTTTGTGACCACCTAGAGGGGTGGGATAGGGAGGGTGGGAGGGAGGAAGACACAAGAGGGAAGAGATATGGGGATAAATGTATAGCTGATTCACTTTGTTATAAAGCAGAAACTAACACACCATTGTAAAGCAATTATAGTCCAATAAAGATGTTAAAAAAATAGAAAAAAAAAAGAAGCCTATTGTAGACAAGTGGGTGGAAACAGAATATGGAGAAGTACCTCGAGTTTCACTGTGCAGGTGTTAAGTTTGAAATGTTAAAAGAGAATTCAAGGAAACTACTGGATATATGACTCTGGAGACTCAGAAGTCTGGACGGGAAACATAAATTCAAGAGTCATCAGGATATATAGAAATGGATTGTGTGCTAAATTATGGCAAAAAGAAGACAAAAAAGTTCACAGTTCCAAGCCTTAAGGTCTGGATAGCGGAGGAGCCTACAAAGATGAAACAGAGCCGATGAAAAAAGAGGAAACTAAAAATGTAGCAATACAAAAGGAGAATGCTTCAAGGAGGAGTGATCTACACAGCCAAGTGCTGAGGAAAGGTCAAGTGAGATGAGAACAAGTTTTCACTGAATTTGACAGTGCTGAATTCACTGGCCCCCTTGACAAAAATAATTTTGGCAGAGTGGAAAACTAACTTCAAGATAAAAGTCAGAGACTTCTATGTATGCCACATACAAAGGGAAAAAAGCAACAGCTGAGGGTATATAGATGATTCTTCCCCACAGGTTGCACCAGAAACATTCTTGATGTCCTTTCTTCTCCCTGTTAGGGTTATTTGAAATAAAACAGAGATGGTGGTACATAAGTAATGACTGCACACACAAAAGGAAATCAGCCTAAACTAGCTGCTGAGGGAGAAGAAAAAAAAAACTCTGCCTTGCACTTGGTAAATTCTGAATGCTTATAAGAAAAAGCTGTTTGCCACACTAAAAAAAAAAAAAAAAAAAACTGTCAAGAACAAAGATCTGTCACATACTTGTTATTTTAAAAATCAGGCCTGGGCTTCCCTGGTGGCGCAGTGGTTGAGAGTCCACATGCCGATGCAGGGGACACGGGTTCGTGCCCCGGTCCGGGAAGATCCCACATGCCGTGGAGCGGCTGGGCCCGTGAGCCATGGCCACTGAGCCTGCGCGTCCAGAGCCTGTGCTCCGCAATGGAAGAGGCCACAGCAGTGAGAGGCCCGCGTACCGCAAAAAAAAAAAAAAAAAAAAAAAATCAGGTCTAAAACACAAATGCTTAAGTCCATCAGAAAAGTCTAAAACTACTATTGAAAATATAATTCTGATTTATAATTTTATTTCCATGTGATAAACTCTAGTAATGATTTCCACACATCTGTGCTGACTGGCTTTGTTCTATCAGCCAAAAATATTCTTTGGAAAAGAAAAAAAAATCTGATAGGAAGAATACCAGGAAAGGGACTGGGTGGAGTTGAAGGGGAAAGAAAAGGGAGAACCTAAGCCAACATGCAATCTGGGGGCAATTAGATCCACACTAGTCCTGAGATGGTCAGGGTTCTAGGCTGCCTGCAAACCATTCCATACCAATAGAAAAAATTTCAACAAATAAATCACTAACGTGAAGGACAGTATTAAGGAGCTAGAGTTACTGAGAATTCCTGGACTACAGGTTCTGGCTGATGCCTTATGTGTAGGGCGACTATCCTTTTCCCTTTATCTAAGACAGTCCTGATTTATGCCTGACGTCCTGACATAAATATTACTAGCACCACCTTTCATTCTTATAAGTGCCTCAGTTTGGTTGACAAACTATATGGTCATATTACTTATATACCACACATTTCTAAGACTGAAAAAATATATGCAGTTAATTATTAAATAAAAGGCAAATGCAGTATTATAAATTACAACATTAAGAATCTACTCCTGGGCTTCCCTAGTGGCGCAGTGGTTGAGAGTCCACCTGCCGATGCAGGGGACACGGGTTCGTGCCCCGGTCCGGGAAGATCCCACATGCCGCGAAGCGGCTGGGCCCACAAGCCATGGCCGCAGAGCCTGCGCATCCCGAGCCTATGCTCCGGAAAGGTAGAGGCCACAACAGTGAGAGGCCCGCATACCGCAAAAAATATATATATAAATAAAAAGAATCTACTTTTTTATTTGAACCAGTTCTCGTAACTCTCCTAAAAAATGAAACATAACATAAAATAAGCTGCATTAAAAAAATAAACACAAATGTCATGGCTGAGTGTAAATAAACCACCTAAAATTCAGTTTAAAACAAATTCATACTCGGTGCTTTCAAATGTTTCACAAACATGTTTTTCGTATCTGTTATTCAGTATTTACAATAATAAAAGAAAGAACATCAAATAATGGACCAACACCTAAATCTCCCAAGTGCCTCAATAATAACCTTAGATATTTCAAGAGACTTACACGTAACCTTTACAAGAATCGATAATCACATCCATTTTTTACTAAGACCAGTAACCCAGATTATGCACAGGCAGTGGTGACTCTGGGGTCAGGGACAGAGAGATGGCTTGCATTTCATGCACTACTTTGAGAGCTGATAAATTACAGCCTAAAAGCCATCCAGACCTCTAGTTTGAACGAGTACAATCAGTGTGCTGTGCTTTCCGGGAACCACCATCTTACCTTACTCTAACATGGACATATAATAAGTGAAGGCTTCTATTTATTGTACTTAGTGCAAAATAAGTAATATTCTTGTCAAGCTTACCTGAACCGTAATTTCTAATTACGTGTCTAATCTCATTCCATTTTTAGTAACAAGCTATACAACCTAAGTGGCACAGTCTCAACTCTCACACATCCAAAAACTGGCTATTAAAAATGTAACCTTTGCTGGATCTCACGTAGACAACAACAGAACTCAAAATTACGGGACGTGTAGGGCAAACTTGGAAAAATTATTTGGTAAATTAAAAATTCTATTAAACTCTAGCAATATTCAGGGACACTCTTATATGATCACTACAATCAGTATTTCAGAAGCATGGCTAATTTGGGCACGTAAAAAAAAAAAGGCAGGAAATGTTAGGTTTTCCAACATCATGGCATCTATCACATTCTATGTGGCATTACAGTCACTACCATACAATTCTTTGGATCCTCTGCCACATTTAGCATAGTACTTTGCACACTGCAGCTTCCTAAAAAAAAAAATGAATACTAGCATTTTTTCCAGGAAGACTAAATGAAGACAAGCCTGAAGGACTATGGTAATAATCTCATTAAATGGTATGGGTGTAACAAAGTAAAAATCAGGAGAATGATTCCCCTATGGCCTTTGGCCTGTAAAACCTTAGTTAAGAGTAAACAAATCTTTAATGATTTTCAAGCATTATTCTGTGCCACAGTTGCCACACTATGACCTCCCTTTGCCTTGTTAGTCAAGGACCTAGCTCCATTTGGCTCTAATAACAATTACAAATAACACAGGGAAATGTTTATCAAGAAGTATACAGGTCTGAAAAGGTCCACTATAACCTTCTTCTAGTTGACATAACATAGAAATTGTATTTTCATAGAGTTAAATCTTTTACTATTGAGAAGCTATATGGAAATTTACCAAGACAGAATTAAATTATAACAAGGGAAAGAGATTCAACAAAAATCACAATAAACAAGTATAAATGATTTTATCTAATGATTACAAACAGGTTCAACCATATCATTCCACCAAATCATATTTATCACAGATGATATAGTAACAAATATTAAATACATTATATGTATAAACATATGATAGGCAGATAAAATAACTATATTAAAGACATTATATACAATATAATATGTATGTATTATATGCGTTTCAATTTGTATATTAGTGCACACAAACAGATTTTTAAGGTCACATCTCTATAAGAATTCTGAAACTGGGACAGCTTTTAAAAAGTATATTTATTCTTAGAACTGATCTTAAGAGTAAATTTAATGAATGTCCTTGTAACTCGTTTGTTCTACTAGTTAAAATTGTGTATAAACAATTTAGATGTAAATCTAACCTGTAGCTGTTTTTCTGGACGATACCATCTGATGTGTCTTGCTCCTCTTTAGCAGAAAATCCTAGAAGATGCCTCCTTTGATTTGTAGGGTTCACACCAGGATTCATTCTCCTGGAATCTCGTTCCAACACACTGAAAATTTTAAAATGTTAAGAAATAATTGAAATAAAAATGTCATACATATGCATCCTACGTGTAGCTCTGAAGCAAATCAAAGTTCTTTTGTAGCTCTATACACACAGCAAGAACACTAGGCATAGAAGCAAGTCAAAACAGCTTACTGATATGGTCAAATCCCTAGCTTGTCATCCTGTACATATATGAAAAATAATTTTGAAAATAATTTTTATAAGTATAGAAGTACCTTATTTATAACCTGTTTAGACAAAGTCAGTATTCTATATGCTTTAAAAACTATAATTATGTTATGTGTGTGTATATATATATATATATATATATATATATATATAAAGTAGAAACAGGTATATAAAAAGTAGAAATAGGTACATATAAACAAATTCTAAACTCAGATAATAACTGGAATAAGAAGTCTTAGATGCTGCAAACTGATTATTTTCAATGAGGAAATACTTCGAATGAAATGGGAATTTTTCTCTTTATCAACAGCCAAATTCTTTAGATTTTCACAATCCCAGAAGGCAGGCTATCAAATAAAGCTAACAGAAATTTCTTTAAATGCCTATGAAAGTTTCCTACTTACTTCTTTCTCCCCACTCTCCCTAATTCCTTCTTCATGTATTTGGGTCAAACATATGTATATCAATATCAATCAAATACTGCAATAGTTATTTAACACTTTTATTCATTCATTCATTCATTTATTTATGGCTGTGTTGGGTCTTCGCTGCTGTGCGTGGGCTTTCTCTAGTTGCGGTGAGCGGGGGCTACTCTTCGTTAAGGTGCGCGGGCTTCTCATTGCCGTGGCTTCTCTTGTTGCGGAACATGGGCTCTAGGCGCACAGGCTTCAGTAGTTATGGCACGTAGGCTCACTAGTGGCGGCTTGCGGGCTCCAGAGCGCAGGCTCAGTAGTTGTGGCGCACGGGCTTAGTTGCTCCGCGGCATGTGGGAATCTTCCCGGACCAGGGCACGAACCCGAGTCCCCTGCATTGGCAGGCGGATTCCTAACCACTGTGCCACCAGGGAAGTCCCAACACTTTTAGCTCATTAATCAAGGACTTAGAAATTTGGCTCATCAATAAGATATCTTGTGTGTGTGTTTAATTTTACAATGCCACACATATAACTTACACTAGTCACAATCTTCTTGGAATTCAACACAAAGGGAATTTCCCTGGAGAAGCACAAAAGAAGGGGTACCAGTTTCTATTTAGAGGGATGAAGTAGAGGAGGAAAATAAGGCTGACAAGAACGTCACAGTTAAGGGTCCTGTGATTCTAAGAGAAAAGGAGTTCTTTGGGGTTTAGTAATTTGCCTCCAAATTTGGGGAAAGGGATGTTAGGTGGAAGCAAAGAGCAGGTACACCCCTCTAGACTCTTTTTCTGATATCTTATTATGTTCCCTACTCTCCTCAATTCTTTACCTCCAGAATCACTGCCTTCCAGTGGTTCTCACAGGTATGCTGTGGCACTCTGGCACAGTACAAACTCTTCAAAAGTATACCACCAAATTATGATCATTGTACAAAATTTAATTTTGCTACAATTGAGGCTACCTTTTGTTACAATTGTATTTTTCAGACAGAGTATTTACCTGAGTGGTCACAAACAGTATAAAAACCCTTCTGCAAACGAGGTAAAAGGCCTAATGGAATGTCCAAGTATACTCAGGAAAACTTAGTTTGGTGAGTATTTTAGAAAACATGAGATAAGCAGTAAACAAAACAATTTTGTCAGGAAGCCAAATGAAGAATGTGATGACAACTGCAGAATATATTTTTTCTTTTTGAAACTTATGTTTTTGAAAAGTGTTTACTTTTTAATCCTTTCAAGTGTAATGCTAAAATTTTTACTTAGGAAAGTATGCAGTAAACAAAATCAAAGTTAAGAACTTTCCCGCCAGTTTACAGCATCTCAATTAATTCACCCCCTACTGGCCCACCCCTCCATTGCATTAGTGAAATATCCACATAGTAACATTCCTGTTTGGTGGAAGTACTCCCTCAACCCCGCCAATCCCTAGGAAAAGCTCTATCACCCTAACTATTTAAGAATTGCGTATGCGGCCCACCCACATTTTATTTCCATTGGACAGTGTTGAGCTAAAGCTCCTGGGAAGGAACGGTGTTTGGGAGGGGAGCAAATTCTGGGTTGTCCCTCCCTGGGATTCACTTCAATAGGGTCCTCTTTTTTTTTTTTTTTTTTTAAACTAGAAATGCTTTAACTAGTACCACCAGTCTTGGTACTAGTTCTGGACTCTGTGGCTATTCAGAACAAGTCTAAGCAAGCCTTCTTCCAATGTCCAAAGACACCTAACATGCCCCGCCCCTCACTCCAGGCTTTCTTTTTCAAAGCTTTAGTTTCTTCCATATGTTCCTCTTTATAGTACAGTCTTAGGTCCCTTCAGCATGTTTGGTCACTCCCCTCTCAATATGTTTCTCAGAGATGGGCCCAGAACTGGCCACAACACTTCTGAGGTAGTATGACCATTATAGGATGGAACGGGATAAGTCCTTCCCATGTTCTAAATATTATTCTTCCACCCATATACTTAATATCAGGTAGGCTTTTTTAGCAGTTACATCATACTCTATATTGAGGCTGGTATAATTAAAACTCCAACTGTTCTCACAAACTGATTTTGGACTATTACCTTCCCTTCCTTCCCTCTCCTCTCTCACTTCCAATTCTGAAGTTATATAACTGAGCTTTTTGATCCAGCTGAATAATTTACATCAAATTCCTCTTAAAATATCATTCAAGAACTTTTAGAATCCTAATTAGCAAAAGAAATTCTCCTTCTAAGCAAGGAACAACATACCATCAACATCCTCAACTGAGTTGTTATTAAGATATCGAAAAGAACAGAGCCAAGAAATTGAGCCCTGCAGCGTGCTCCTAGGGAGTGCCTTCCAAGTTTGTAAATACATAAGTTAAACCACTTACGAATTAATTGTAATATATCCTAGACCAAAATTCCCTGTCTTGACCACAGAGATATTACAAGACTGTTAAACATTCTTCTAAGATGCAAATACAGTATGACAGCAGCAACCATTTTTTGAGCACCTACTATGTACTGAGGAATGAAAACTCAAAGAAAGTTGAGGCTCAAAGAGTTTAAACAGTTTGCCCAAGTCATGCTGTGATATGGTGATTTATAAAAAGAAATATATATTTGGTCACAACATTTTTCCTGGCACAGAGCTCCTAAAACCCTTGGAATTTCCCAAGTGATAAGACCCATAAAGGTGCCTTTTGCTATGTCAATGAGGTGAGCTGGAAGGCCCTAGCTTACCTAAGGATAGAGAGAACCATAAGAATAGAGAGTTGGAACTTTCAGTCCCACCCACCACCCCCCAACTGCAGGGAGGGGAAAGGAGCTAGAGATTGAGCTCAATCACCAATGGCCAATGACTTAATCAATCTGTCTCTGTCATGAAGCCTCCATTAAAACCCAAAAGGAACGGATTCAGGGAGCATCTGGGTTGGTGAAGATTCAGGGACAGTGGTGAGCCTGAAGAGGGCATGCAAGTTCCCTGTCCATTCCCCTATACCTTGCCCTATGCAGCTTTTCCATTTGGCTGTTCCTGAGTTATATCTCTTTATAATAAACAGGTACTCTTGTAAGTAAAATGTTTCTCTGACTTCTGTGAGCCACTATAGCAAATTAATTGAACCTGAGGTCATGGGCACCTCTGATCTATAGCCCGTTAGCCAGAAGCACAGGTGACAACTTGGATTAGCGATTGATGCCTGAAGGGGGCGTAGGGTAACTCTTGTAGGACCGAGCACTTAACCTGTGGGATTTGACACTATCTCCACACTGTCTGTGTCAGAATTAAGTTTAATTGTAGGACACCCAGCTAGTGTCTGAGAATTGCTTGGTGGTATGGGAAAAACCTCCCCACACGTTGGAACTGGGTGATCAGAACTCTTAGGGAGAACTGTTTGGTGGTGTGGAAAAACATACATTGGAATTGGTGTCAGAAATGTAAGTGCTCTGAGTAATTAACAAAGCCAGGATTTGGGTCCAGGATTAGAACATCATCACTGCATTATGTTGACATTTCCCAAAATGACTGATTTTTTTTTAAGTTGTTTCAAACTAGTTTATTTAGCGGTTCCATTTTCACTCCTCAATAGATTTTATGTATTTCTCATAGGCTTCTTCACTCATTAGTTCATCTAGTTCTGAAGGGTTACTGAGTGTCATCTTGATCAGCCAACCGTCTTCATAACAAGATTTGTTGACAAGTCCTGGATTTTCTGCTAGAGCTTCATTAATTTCAGTTACTTCTCCTGATAGAGGAGAATAGAGTTCACTAGCAGCTTTCACACTGTCCAAAGCACCAAATTCCTCGTTTGTTCAATTTTGTCCCAACTTCAGGCAGACTACAGTAAACAACATCTCCCAAAGCTTCCTGTGCAAAATTGCTGATTCCCACTGTTCCAACACCGTTTTCTGTTGTTACCCATTCATGTTTGTCTGTGAATTAACGACCCGACAGCAGAAGGGGGCCGGCGACCGCCCACAGTCCCCAGGGCCGCGGCGGGCAGGGCACGTTGGGCGCAGAGATGGCGCGCAGGCTGCCGACCGCGCGGCCCACACGCTCCACGCCACTCGCAGCGCCATGTTCGCAGCCAGAATGACTGATTCACTCATTTATTCAACATGTACTAGATACCTATTATGTTCCAGGAATCATATTTGATGCTAAAGACTCAAAGATAAAAATCAAATACTGTGTGTGTGTGTGTGTGTGTGTATGGCAGGGGGAAGAGTGATACAGACAAAAGATAACAGAGGGATTAGCAGCATAACAGCGGTTAATGCCAAATGTTACAGAAGCATATAGCTAGGGCATTTGATCTTTACCAAGAGGATCATGAATTTATCTTAAAATACAAGCAGTAAATAAACGGGTGGAAAGGAGGATGTGAGTGAGAAGGCATTTCATGTAGATAGACTAGTATATGAAAAAGGACACAGTC